TTATAACGAGAAAACAACTCTCGTTATGTCGATATAACGAGAAAATAAGTCGTTATAACATATAAATCAGAAGGGAAAAAAAATAATGCATGGCCGCTTAGAACTTCCATAAATAATAAAGAAAAGAGGCACATTACAAATAGCCTACGTCATTGAAGCCCATCCTACTGTAGACAAACAGATCCCCGCTTATTAACTAAAAATAATGTACCTCAAAGAAGCACAAATAAAGATATAGGTGCAAACAGAATACAGTGACGTCAACCTTGGTTTTAATAAGCAGTTATTATTTTATGACACAGAACGCGTTGGTGAAACTCATGCATCTAGCAAGAACTTAATACACAAAATAGTCATATTGATTCAAGCATTTAACATTTATGAATGAATTAAATGTCAGTAGCCTAATGAACAATACTGTACAAATTATAGCGATCACGAGGTCGTTCATCAAATCGAATCGAAATCGGATCACACTGCATCGTAACAGGGGTGAATCGTATCGCATCGCATCGGTAGCTGCTTCATATGTATCTTTAATGTATCGTATCATTGGCTATGCATCGAGATGCGTATCGTATCGGCCTTGGTCATGGAGATGCACATTCCTAATATAGGTTACTCTCTAGGCAGTAAAGAATAGGACAAAAGTAAAACTAACCTAATTATATTTCAGCTATATTATACACTTCCAGTATATTATGCCAACTGAACCAAATACTTTGTATTATATGTTTGTGATGCTTATCCACCAGAGGGCTGTGATGGGCTGTTATCGTATAAATCAAGGGCTGATTTGTAGTCCCAGTCTATCCCTTAATAATAATCTTGTATTTGTGTATGAGGTAAAGGTACTCTCAAAACAAAACACTGACTATTGAATGCTGCTCTTTATTGTCCTAGCCTTTATTGTACACCCAGAGTAAAGTTAAAGCCCAATGGGAGTATAGTACACTTACCAGGAGAGAGAAACATAATCATAGGAATATCTGGGTGTTCCCTATTATGCTGGTTTAGGATGTCTCAGGTGCTGAGATGGGTCATTATGCTTTGTACCAGGAAAGACAAAGTGTTGTAACTTGGGCAGAAGTGTCCATAGAGAAGGTAAGTCGCACACCTTCCGAATCCTGAGAAGGACCCACTTGCTCTGTGTACTAATGTCCGCCCATAGGACAACCAGCCATCAGTGAGATATGCTGTAAGTACTGATTTAAATTGATCATTTTGTTTGTCAGGTACCTTTACAGTAAAAGTGGCATTTGTTGGCTTGTTTCTGTAAAAGTGCTGAGCGCTAAATCTGTCTAATAAGATTTAGAATGTATCTCTCATGATTTATTTTGAGATTACAAATACAGAATTGAGCAAATAACAGTTTACTCTAATCATACTGTGAGTTCCAGATAATAAACATGAGCTATTTATATTCTGAATGAGTATGTTCTGAAAGCTGAGAAAACTCAATTTGATATATTGATTTGGATAGTCTAGGAAGATTTTAGAAAATAATTTATATTGCATTTATCTCAAACTTGTTTTAAAGGGTAATTTCAGTTAACACAACTCCAATCTGTAATGGTAAATATATCTTTTGGGATATGATGTTCAGCCATGATGTGATGTTGAGAAGGATGTTCTTTCCAGTAAGTTCTTAGTATGCTAGAGACATTTAATTCCGATGCACCACATGGATTTCTATACAGTAGATTCCATCAGACAGACAATGACTGAATCTGACCCACACGGAAGTAAAACATTCAGCATGTAACCCAGTCAGAGATCAGAGGATTATTGTCATAATTTTTCCTATTCAGGACATCATCCATGTTGACTTCAGTTACCAAACTTGAGAAACTCTTTGTTTCACACTGTCTTTTCTCGAATGATACCAGTCATTATTATACAACTTTAGTGAGCTATGCTATAATCAGAAATGCTATCATCTTGAAATTTACTTTGTAAGGTAAAAGCAGAGAAAGTTGACAATGGATATCGGAGATGACAAAATTATAGTATACTGTAAATTACTTCTTCTATGGAAAGATGCGTTTCTTTGAGTCTAATAAAGTTATTTAACACAGTTATTCCTGTGTTTTTGTTATGCGTAAACAGGTTCAACTTGATCGATGTAACTCTATAGATGTAAAGATATACATGCATATAAGCAACCAGTAGGAATTCACCTAATTACTTACACTAAGAAGTTGTCTTCCTATTTAGTGAGTCATAATAATAGAAAAGATCATAGATAATAGAAAAGTCACAAGTTTTTTTGTGTTTTTTTGGCGTTGTATGTCTCAGTGAAGCCCACAAAAAAAGCTAAATTAAAAATCATCATGGACACAATAAAAAATTCCAATATGTTAGTTTTGCATTTTCCGAGGAAAGAGTTTTGGATCCAATTAAATGTGAGCCATCTTATCCATTCTGTCTACACAGTTTCAGATCTTAGTGACTGTGCAGCGGCAGGGAGCATATGCCACACCAATGCAGACTGCTTCAAAACACGGATAGTATACTGTAAATTACTTCTTCTATGGAAAGATGCGTTTCTTTGAGTCTAATAAAGTTATTTAACACAGTTATTCCTGTGTTTTTGTTCTGCGTAAACAGGTTCAACTTGATCGATGTAACTCTATAGATGTAAAGATATACACGCATATAAGCAACCAGTAGGAATTCACCTAATTACTTACACTAAGAAGTTGTCTTCCTATTTAGTGAGTCATAATAATAGAAAAGATCATAGATAATAGAAAAGTCACAAGTTTTTTTGTGTTTTTTTGGCGTTGTATGTCTCAGTGAAGCCCACAAAAAAAGCTAAATTAAAAATCATCATGGACACAATAAAAAATTCCAATATGTTAGTTTTGCATTTTCCGAGGAAAGAGTTTTGGATCCAATTAAATGTGAGCCATCTTATCCATTCTGTCTACACAGTTTCAGATCTTAGTGACTGTGCAGCGGCAGGGAGCATATGCCACACCAATGCAGACTGCTTCAAAACACGTAATGATAAGTTTCTCTGCATGTGCCAAATGGGGTACAGGGGCACTGGAGTGCAATGCCAGGACATTGATGAGTGTACAACTGGTCTACACAGCTGCCATGTAAAAGCAGTCTGCAGTAACGATCTGGGCAGTTACACCTGTTCATGTCAAAATGGTTATTCTGGTGATGGTTTCCAATGCCAAGATATCAATGAGTGTCAAACTGATAATGGTGGCTGCCATGTTAATGCACTTTGCACCAACAGAGATGGAGGAAGAGACTGCAGTTGCAAGTCTGGTTTCACTGGAAATGGATTCCAGTGCACTGATAATAATGAGTGCACAAGACCAGGAATCTGCCACTGGAATGCCACGTGCACCAACAACCCTGGCTCCTACGTGTGCACATGCAACGCTGGCTACAAAGGCAATGGAAATTATCTCTGCCTAGACGTTGATGAGTGTTCAGAGACTCTTGGCGTTGTATGTCTCAGTGAAGCCCACAAAAAAAGCTAAATTAAAAATCATCATGGACACAATAAAAAATTCCAATATGTTGGTTTTGCATTTTCCGAGGAAAGAGTTTTGGATCCAATTAAATGTGAGCAAAACAACAACTCATTGGTCACCTGCCACAGTCTCGAAAGCTCATAGAGTCATTAACCTAACAGTAAATAAAAATTTTTTTACTTCATATTTGTTGACCTTCTCTTGCAGGAGTCTGCTGCTGTATCTGCTATGCCTGTGTATTGTGTTCAGGTACACAACTGCAGGTCAGTAACATGATCAAGATCAGAGTCTTCTATGATTGATCGACTCACACTACAGAATACAGTCACTTATTGCCAGACTTACCCAACTCTTATCCATTCTGTCTACACAGTTGCAGATCTTAGTGACTGTGCAGCGGCAGGGAGCATATGCCACACCAATGCAGACTGCTTCAAAACACGTAATGATAAGTTTCTCTGCATGTGCCAAATGGGGTACAGGGGCACTGGAGTGCAATGCCAGGACATTGATGAGTGTACAACTGGTCTACACAGCTGCCATGTAAAAGCAGTCTGCAGTAACGATCTGGGCAGTTACACCTGTTCATGTCAAAATGGTTATTCTGGTGATGGTTTCCAATGCCAAGATATCAATGAGTGTCAAACTGATAATGGTGGCTGCCATGTTAATGCACTTTGCACCAACAGAGATGGAGGAAGAGACTGCAGTTGCAAGTCTGGTTTCACTGGAAATGGATTTCAGTGCACTGATAATAATGAGTGCACAAGACCAGGAATCTGCCACTGGAATGCCACGTGCACCAACAACCCTGGCTCCTACGTGTGCACATGCAACGCTGGCTACAAAGGCAATGGAAATTATCTCTGCCTAGACGTTGATGAGTGTTCAGAGACTCCTGGTGTGTGCTCTGCTTTCTTTGGGTACAAAGGTTGCAAGAACCTGCCAGGATCTTACACCTGCCTCTGCAACAGTGGTTACCAAAGCAACGGACAGACATGTGAGGACATCAATGAATGTGAAATCAACCTCTGCAGCTCATTTGCTGAATGTACAAACTTACCAGGTTCATATCGTTGTACCTGTCCTGAAGGATTTGTGGGAAATGGCTTGGCCGTGCGTAGACATTAATGAATGTGACAGAAAGAACAGCTGTGACACCAATACAATATGTACCAATTTGCTAGGAAGCTACGAATGCTCTTGCCGCCCAGGGTTCCTGGGCACAGGTACAAAGTGTACTGACATTAACGAATGTGCCACCAATAACATTTGCCCAGCCAACGCTGCATGTGTCAACACTGCAGGCTCATTCTTCTGTGACTGTGGTCCAGGCTATAGCTTTAGTCAAAACCAGTGTCTGGATGTGGATGAATGTGCCACAGGACATTGCAGTGCTTATGCCTCTTGTGAAAACTTACCTGGTCCATTCATCTGCGCATGTCTAGCTGGTTTTGAAGGTGATGGGTTAGTATGTGACGATGTGGATGAGTGTGCCAAAGAAAGGCGGTGCCATGTTAATGCACTCTGTATTAATGTTCCAGGGAAATACAACTGCAGCTGTATGGTGGGATACACAGGTGATGGTGTGTCGCAGTGCACAGATGTGAACGAGTGTCTTGTTGATAACGGTGGCTGCAGCAACAGAGCAAAATATGTCAACAGTAAGGGGTCTTTTTCTTGCGTTTGCCCCTCAGGCTTTCAGCTAGTCAATCGTACCACCTGCCAGGACATAGATGAATGCCAGCTTCCTGATAAGGCATGTAGTATCAATGAGCAGTGCTCAAACATGGAAGGGTCATATTCATGCCAGTGTAAAGCAGGCTTCAGTCAAATCACTGACGATTTAGACTGCTCTGATATTGATGAATGTGAACAGCAGAAACCTTGCCACCAGAATGCCACATGCTTGAATTTAGCAGGCTCCTTCTCATGTACCTGCAATCATGGCTTCTCAGGAAATGGCATTACATGTGAGGATATAAATGAATGTGCAATTGAGGGGATGTGCCATCTACATGCCAACTGCTACAATTATCCTGGTGACTTCTTGTGCATTTGCCATCAGGGCTTTACAGGAGATGGTTCCACCTGTACAGACGTGGATGAATGTGTCCTTTCAAATAATACTTGCCCAGACATCTCTGTGTGCATCAATTCCCCTGGAGCATATGTCTGTTCTTGTCTGAATGGCACAGTAGCATACAACAACACTTTTGTCCTCCCTAGTCATGAATGTGATCCTGCCTGCCATCCACATGGACTGTGTCATCCTTCACCTTCAGAGTATCAGTGTGTGTGTGATGTGGGATTCAAAGGGGATGGACTCACTTGCTCAGACATCGATGAATGTGAAGAGAATGTGTGCCCGAAGAAAGAGACGCAATGTGTCAATAACCCAGGATCCTTTGATTGCATTTGCAAAGTGGGTTACACTCTTAAGGGAACAGAATGCATAGGTATGTGCAATACACATGCATTTATAAAAAATAAAAAGCATTTATATTTACATAAGCCAAGTTCCTGGGTTCAGTTAGCCAGGGAATGGCACCATTCTTTCAATCTTTTCTTCTCACATTACTCTTTTCCCAACCTTTCAGATCTGGATGAATGTGAATCTGGAGTCAATAACTGCAGCAAGTTTGCACAGTGTGTAAACACAATTGGCAGTCATCTGTGTTCCTGTCTCAACGGCTTCATTGGTGATGGAAAAAACTGCTCTGGTAAGTTTTCCTTCTGTTTCAAAATTCATTTTTGCACCTCTTTGCTTGCTTGAAGACTCTCTTCTCAGTCTTTTAGGGATTTTTTTTCCTGACCCTGTCCCATTTTGAATGACTTATAGACATTAATGAGTGCCAATCCAAACATGGAGGATGCCACCCAGCTGCCAGCTGCACTAACTCCCCTGGGTCCTACAAGTGTACCTGTCCCTTTGGCATGACCGGATCTGGGTTTGATTGCCAAGATGTGGACGAGTGTACTAAAAACTCAACTTTGCCTAATAACTGCAGCCTTCTTGCCATGTGCAACAACACAAAGGGGTCCTACATTTGCAAGTGCACGGAGGGATACCAAGGAAATGGGTTTACTTGTGAGGATGTGGATGAATGTTTGCCACCCTCAATCTGTGGGAACAACATGACCTGCCAAAACTTTCCTGGAACATATACATGCACATGCACCCTTGGTCTAGTCTATGATTTGGGTACCTGTGTGAATGAGAAGGACTGTAAGAATGTAACCAATGCATGCAACACCCATGCTGAGTGCAAAAACATCCGTGGGTCAAACTATTGCTCCTGCATTGAAGGGTTTCTTGGGAATGGTAGAGACTGTCAGGATATAGATGAATGTACACAAACAGGAGCTTGCCCAGAGTTGTCCCACTGTTTCAATACAGAAGGGTCCTTTCATTGTGACTGCTGGGAAGGTTACCAGTACACCGGGACACACTGTGTAGACATAAATGAGTGCAGTGTAGGAACCTTTACTTTCCCAGACAACAGCACCTGCCACAATACAGAGGGAGGGTATAATTGTTCATGTAACAATGGTTTCCTTTACTCTAACAACTCTCTGTGTTTGGATGTTGATGAATGTGCCACAGGGAAAGCACAGTGCCCAAATGCCTCCAACTGCCAAAACACAGCGGGATGGTATTTCTGTGAATGCTGGGATGGGTATACAGGCAATCAGACAGTCTGTGAGGATGTTGATGAATGCCTGAACAATTCTACATGTTCAGACCACAGTGTCTGTGTCAACACTGAAGGTTCATTTCTGTGCCTTTGTGATCATGGATTCTCCTCTAATGGTACCAGTAGTACCCAATGTGAGGATATAGATGAGTGCTCAAACCCAGAGTTTGGCACACTCTGCACTTATGGAACTTGCATTAACACAATTGGCTCATTTTACTGTGCTTGTGATATGGGATTCTGGAGCAATGGCACTAGGTGTCTTGACATAGATGAGTGTTCAGGATCAAAGAATGAATCAATATGTCAATCTCACTCTACATGTATCAATTTCCATGGGTCTTATAAACGTGACTGCAGCTTGGGTTACTTTCTAAACAGAACAGAGTGTCAAGACATTGATAAATGCCTAGCAGATATCTGTCCCTGCACTGTCAACGCTGTTTGTGTAAACACAGCAGGTTCTTTCCAGTGTCCATGCGTATCTGGTTTTGAGGCTCAGGGTCCACAGTGTACAGATGTAAATGAATGCCTTTTGAGCAGAATTTGTCGTCCCGATCAGGTATGCATCAATAAACCTGGATCATTTTATATAGGTGCTGTGCCAGTATTATAATTACTATTTTTAAACAGATTTCACAAACATTTCCCCTGTCTGCCTTTGGTTGTACAGATAGTCCCACCCTAAACTCATAGCACCAGTTGAGACAATGTGTTGACAAGGTTGAGAGAGCCACAGTGTTTACACAATGTTTACACAAATGGTGTGCACATTGAGATATTGGAAATTATAATTAAAATGTAATCTTTTTACAATTTAAATTAAGTTTCACTTAAGTAAAACTATAAGCTTTTATAAGTATAACTATATATTTTTGTGGTAATTACCTTGAAGTAAACTTTGAACATTCTCCCTTTCTGTCCAACAGGAATACCGTCTCCTTAATATATATGACATCTATGCTGAGGCAATATTTCAAAAAACAGCACACGATGTTAGCAAATTTGAGACTCAAAGGGGCAAACCCCCCTTTTCCCCCACCTGGATTGTGAAAATCACATGGGATCACGTTCTGCCCGTGTCCTATCAAAAGATCAACTTCTCTGAGTTGAGTGTTAGATGAATGAACGGAACCAAAGCAACAGTAGCTATAATTAAGAATGTTTGCTACTGCAAGCATCACTATTAATATTATTAATATTGTCCATAGTTAGAGTTAGGGATTTGAACAAACTAACCTAAGAATTAAACTTTAACATGTATCTCATCCTCCACCATTTTTACTGCAGACTTTGATGAGGGTGTGCTATTACTTGATGTTCTATTATTTTTCTAAGCAATTAGACTTATTATTTTTGCCTGGAAGATAATAAAATTGGTTGAAAATTCAATAAAATTACATTAAAGTTACCATATCTAGGGGTTGGAATGTCAAAGAGATATGGGGGCAGACTCTTATGACTTGGGTCAATAATAAGCCACAGTATTCCAAGAACACCCAGGCAACCACACCTTGCAACATTCTAGCAACCAATCACATATGAATTTAAAATTACATGGCAAAGCAACTGAGGAAAAACTGCAGGTTATGTTCTCATCTTACACAATATGAAAGATCCTTTCTCTGACTAGATATGGGTACTAAATTTATGGACTTGGTGTAGTGTTGCTGTCCGCACCCAAACCCCCACTCTCTGTCCTAGTTTGTATTGTTAGAAAAATCTTGGGAAGTGTTTTTACAATGACTAACAGGCTGTTCATGCAGGACACGTTCTTGTTTTCAAAAACAGCTACACAGAATGGAATGGAACAAACCATGGTGGTCTTGAGACAGATATTTCAAAGTTAAAATACTTTTATCCTGGCAAGTAGGTCCTGTTTTAAAGGCCTTTACATGCTTATCTTATCAATAATCATCCTAACGTCCTCCACAGACCAACACCTTCCAGTGCATTCTGACCACAGATGGACTACGTTCATTTTCTCTGCTCTGCTACAGTGACATGAACTGGAGTCCAGGACAGAGGACTAATCATAACGCTCTTATAGGCTACACTGATGGTAAGAGCAACTTTCACAATGAGATTCCAAAGCCACCGGACAACCTGTTCAGGCCAGGAGGGCGTTATCGTCCCCAGACTGTCATGGGTAACACAGGCAAACTGGGGCAGCTGGTGTATGACCTTACTGGCTCCCCTGAAACCAGCTCAGATCCTCAGAGGCAATGCCAGATATGGGCCTTCAATGAGCCAGATCCTAAAGAATGGGCATTAGGACTGGCACCTTGTCCTTGCACTCGTGTTCAAGCACAGGAGGACCTGGCTTTTAGCCTTGAGAATCCACCATCAGAACAGATGGCACAAGTGAGGGATCTGAGAGCTCTTAGGTGGGGTGGCAGCAGGAGCCGTGTCTTTCAGTCTATCCTGTTTAACAAACAAAGGGTAGGAAAGAGATGTGTGTATGATCCAGAGGGCCCCCTAGTGGCTGGATACAGTGAATGGTTCTTCACTGAGGACAAGATGCAACTGCATATAGGTAAAGCCATTCCAAATATAATTTATTCTTATGAAGTTTGCAGAGGCATTGTAAGTTGAACCTGTAACCACGTGTTACCTGATCTTTTTATCTTTTTGATTTGAAATTTTTTTTGTGCTGTCTTTGTTACTAGACAAGGATCTTTTACCCTTCCAGTGGTGCTGTGTTCAGTCCCCTCTGTGTAACATGTACTTGGCAAAAAGACCACTAGACCGGTGCCAGGGTTACAGTTGGAATAGCTCTGACAGCAGTATACCTGGGAACAGGGGAGCACCAGGCATTGGTAAGAGCTCTAGGTCTCACCAACTCCCTCATTTATGACTACCAGCGGTGTAAATATTTGCTTTGAAAACAATTTGATTTCATTAGGATTCCTTACTTATGTAAAGCATCAAGAAATCTGACATTTAGTCACAATTTGGTGACATCTGTTAGAATTATTATGGGGCGATTTACAATTATTTTCAAATAGTGGAGCACAACACTGGAACTAGATTATGGATCTGAGTTTGGTGTATTTAAACATCTGAAAGTATGTCAAGAATTGTATTTTGGATAAGAAATTAACATGTAATGCATTGTGTATTGTAGTAAATTATTATCCTGGGTGCACAGATGTTACATTTTGGCTGATACCAATAAGCCGATAATTACTGTCATGTTATGGCCAGTAAATGATACATAAGTGATATTAAAATGTTATACTACTGTAATCAATAAATAAAACAAAGATTATTGGAGTACATTTTACAAGAAAGTACTATTTCAGTCTTTCTACTTCAAAAATTCACATTTAATTCAGTATGTTATTACCATTTCTTCATTGTCATTTGTGAAATTTACTAGCAATTTCTGAGTGAAAATTGTAAGTAAATTCTACACCAAATGTTTACAGTGTATGTAGTCTATACATAACATACATACATAAAATAAAACCTTAAAAACTAAAATCAAACATTTTAAATGCTACAGGCATCACACAATTATATGTACAGTATGAAATATGGATATTCATTTTGAGCTTTGCTAAAGATTACATTTATTATTAAATTATTAATGTTTTTAAAGATTAACTTAGATAACAGTAAAGGTAATCTAAATGTAAATAAAGGGCAAATGAGTATGCATAACTGATATGGTTCCTATATACTGTGTATCATTATCATACATTATGTAATCTATGCATTGCATTTTCTTTGTCAGATTTGATCATTTTGCAGCCCTAATGACTACTGCTTGATTTAATATAAAATAAATAATTTGAAGCTCATATTGACAAGGAATGATCTTTAAAGAGACTCTGTTGCACTCTCTGCATTAATCCAGGCATGGTATATGGCAGTCTCCACTTTATTACCTTTGACGGGAGTGAGTATACCTTCAAAGGCTTGGGGGAGTATGTTATAGTCCGTCTCTCCTCCAGCACAGGATCAAACATCTTCACCCTGCAGGGACAAACAGCAGTTCTAGTGGTCAACAGGCAGCCCAAACTGGTGCCTGCTCTAGTACGATTAGCCGCCTTCTATCAGGGTGCTGGAAAGGTGAGTCTGACATCTCAGATAAAATATAGATCTATGTGCATAAATGAGTGTGTCCACAATGTAAAGTTGTGAAATGATTTCTCGAAAGGTGGAGTGGCAATGTGCTGAATCTGGTGATGGACTTAAGGTCTTGGTTAATGATGAGGTCATTCCTGTGTCTGTTGGTAAGAAGATTTTCAAGGTTTTCACATGCTCATGCAAAGAAATAATAATGTTGTCCTCCTATTTACAACACTAGTCAAAGAAAACCTTCTCCTTTATTATTACTGTTTCGCATATTTTAGAATAATAAGTCATCATACCTATGAAATAACACAAATGGACATATGGCATACTATAAGCATCCTGGGTTTTAAAGGACTTTTCATGTTTCCATGCTCTTGTTCAATGCTTTTTCTTCACTATCCGATACAACTCATCCATTTAAGTCTTAGTTTGGTAAAGAAAATCATATGTACAAACCACCTTTGACCTAAAAGACTAAACAGGATGTTTTGAAAGGCATTACATCTTGACTGTGTCTGAAAATTGAGAACAGTTGGTACTACATTACTATAATATTGAAGGTTAAAATGAATGAAGTTTTTACAATAAAGTTACAGTTACATAATATTTCTACTTCAATTCATTTAAAAAATATATATAAACATTTAAATGGTGGCTGTCATAAAAACTTGATGGATTTATTAAAACATAAATTAAACATTGAAGAACAGTAAAAAATATAATGAATGTTATGTGGTTCATATTTAGCAACATGCCCCTCTCTACAGTTTATTTTTCTATCTGACTAATGAGTTTATGGACACGAATATGTTTTTCTGAGGTAAATGTGACGTTACGTGACATTGTTTACAAGCTGTTATATTGATGTCTTTGCGCGGAGAACACTGAGAGATTACATGAGACAGGATACGGATTGTAAAGTTGTACTTTCTTTTAACTTACCTTCAGATGTTTAGTCATGTTTATTTTGTGCTGAAACTGGTATTAATGTGGAGGAGATGATTAGTTCACGTGCGCTACGCGCTGCTGCGTCTGTTGAACTAAGGCACTACTGCGATCTGTCACTCCACATTAAACAGCGCCGACATGGCATTTATTGTTTAAATACTGCAATACAATGGACAGAATTTGAAATCTGAGACTTTGTTTCATATTAAAAGTACCAAAGCACAATGCTTACCCTTCAATGTTCCGTCCATTAACTGAAAACAGGCTAGACTAATCGATTCTTGGGACTAAGAATCGATATCGTTCCGTAAAAATGAGAATCGATTAATATCGAGATATCAGTATTTTTTTTTTTTACCCAACCCTAATATATACTATAAATGTGTGTAGAATTTTATCCAGACTACATTCGCCATGTTGCCATAGTCGGGGAACCTACCAGCGTCAGTTGCTTTGCTTCACTGCCATTCACAAATCCTCCCCTGTGGCCTCATGGGATAGTATCGATTTAGTCACATTCAGATGTGCACTTCAGAATCTCGCTAGAAATAGTACATCTGGGCATTTCAGCAACTGTTTTATGAATACTATGAATTCGGACATATTGCTCCTTTCACATGCTGTTTTTTGCCTACTGTATAGTACCAAAGACTGTAGAATACTGCAACCAAAATACAACATTGTGAAAAGTTGTAAAAATGTTTTGTGTTTGCTGGGTAGAGAAGTATGCGATTTCTGATGTTACTGAGCGGCTTTTGCTGTTTTGACAGGAGTGGTGCACGTAAATGAGCAGGGTTTTGCGGTGCGCTGTACCTCTATGAGCCGCTGTGCAGTGGTGTACGGCGAGGGCCTGTATGTGATCGTGTGGAGAGGTGATGCTGGGAGGCGGAGCGCTCTGGTGGAGGTCCCGCAGAGGTTCTACAACCGTACACTGGGTTTGCTGGGACTCTGGAGCTCCAACAGGACCGATGACTTCCTGCTTTCCAATGGCCGTATGGTGCCTTCTCTAAACAACAACGTCCCCTCTGAACAGAGTCTGCTTCCCTTTGGACAGTCATGTGCGTGTACTCTTCAGCTGGATTCAGTAGTCTATTAGTGAGAAAATGTTAAATATTGTAGAAACTGCTGTAACACTTTATTTAAAGGTCCCGTTCTCGCTATTAACAAGTTGTGTTTTAGCTTGCATATTACTGGTATATTGGCTGTTTATTAGTACTTATAAAGCACATATTAATGCATTATTCTGCATGACCATATTCTACATTCCTTAATCCTACTCCATACCTAAATTTAACAACTACCTTACTAACTATTAATAATCAGCAATTTTGGAGTTTGTTCAGGGAAACTGCACTTGCAGATGATATAATATAAAAAAAAAATGAAAGGCCACTTGTGAATGAAAGGTGTACTTAAAGACAGACACTTTCATAATTACGTTTCTTGACACACTTAAGGATACTTTCAAAAATTGCACTTTGTCAATGTCAAATTAAAGGTTTTACTTTGAAGTGCAGCTTAAATTATGTTTTAATAATCTTTTGTCACACTTTAAAGCACACTTATTTTGTTGTGTTACCTAACATACTAAAGCACATGTAAAGTTCTTAATTATAAGTTTAAGTGTGGTGTTATTTGATATTGCATTTAAAATTAAAATATTCTAAATTTACCAAGCTGCAACTTCTTCATTACAAATGTATTTAAATACATGACAAGTTTCAACAGAAATTACTTTTGATATTTTAGTTTACCATAAATGTTTGTCAGTACATTCAGCAGTACATTCTAACCGTTTTCGAAGACAATAGAAGTAATTATGAAATGACATACAGGTGTACCTAAGCCCTACTTGTGGGTCAAAAAAGCCACTCTTAAGTTCAACTAATAGCATTTAATATAAAGTTAAACTATAATACATTTTCATTTAATTTTCACAAGGGTATGCATTTACCATTATTATGAACTGGCATTATTTGATCAAATAGTCTGGAAGAAATATGTACAGGATTCCTGTTAAAATCATAATTTGGAACCAATCCTGTAAGAATTCCTACTGGATAAATCGGATTTATACAAAATCGTTTTGATGATTTCTTACTGTATTGTACTGGAATAATATGTTATTATTCCAGTACAATATTGTGTTATAGCAGTTATAGGAGTTTTAAATTCCTGAGAAAGGTCCTTGTGATGTACTACAGGAGCATTTTATCCTTTGAGGAATCATAATGGACCTATTAGAAACAGGGTGTTCTTAAATGTATAGATTTTGTTTTGTTTGTTGAACAAATCCCAATCCAGTCTCTAAATAATGGAAAAAAGGAATATTGTATTCCTTTAAGATTTTTTTACTGGTCACTCTATTTATTGTTTCTTCTGTGTCTGGTTGTTTTCCACAGGGGCTGTTCCTGTTCCTGAGAGTCTTCTGTTGTCAGAGCCTCCTAGTGCTCCATTCAGTCCTGTCATGACAGAGCAACTGATGTCCTCAGTGAGCCCAGACTTGCTGGCCAGACACAGTCAGACCTGCCAGGGCAACATGCAGTGTGTGCATGACATCCTGGCCACAGGAAACACAAACCTCGGCCAGGATGTTCAGAAAGACCAGCAGCAACTTCAGACCCGAGCACAAATTTACGGTTAGCTGGTCATCCACATCAACCTTCACCTAATGCACAAAAATATCTTGACCTAAAATAAAAACTTAAATAAACTAAAAATACACTACCGTTCAAAAGCTTGAGGCCGGTAAAAATGTTTTTGAAAGATGTTTCTCATGCTCACCAAGGCTGCATTTATTTGTTCAAACATACAGTAAAAACAGTAATATTGTTTTAATATTTAAATTTGTAATATTTTCATATATTTTAAACTGAAATTCATTTCTGTGATGACAAAGCTGTATTTTCAGCATCATTACTCCTGTCTTCAGTGTAACATGATCCTTCAGAAATCATTCTAATGTGCTGATTTGCTGCTCAAGACACTTTTTTTTATTATTATCAATGTGAAAACAGTTGTCCTAATGTATTGTGGAAACCGCAATATAAATACAGTATTTTGATGAATATAACATTCAAAGGAACAGCATTTATTTTCAAATAGAATTATTTAATATTTCATTCATTTTAAATGTATTTAGTGTCACTTTTGATTAACTTGATGCAAAAGTAGCAGTTTCTTAAAAACGCTACTGTATTTTATGCTTATCACAAAGGAAAGAAAAAAATTAAATTTTAATGTCAGCTGTTTCTAATTAGATTAATTGGAGAGCAAATTGAGAGTTCGCTTATGTCTACTGCATCTTAGATTATCCTCCTGAAAAAATAGACTTGAGTTCAGAAGACACCTTAACAATGTTTCAAACTTGTGCTCAGATTTGCCAAGATTAGAAAAGAGATCTCAATATGAACTCATTCATATTCAATTCTTCTCATTTGTGTGTAATACTTGTGAGTGATAAAATATTCCTCTTAGTAGTCACAGTATAATTGTTCATTCATTCATTCATTCATTCGTTCGTTCACGGTCTCTAGGACATTTTAACAGCTCCCTCCCTTTGCTTTTGCTTGTGTTCAACAGGAAACCTGCCTCCCATTGTGCCATTTGTTATCATGTGTAAAGTCAATAGTACCGTTAGAGTTCAGTTCAAGGCTCAGGATCCAAACAGAAACCAAATCACCTTCTCCCTGGGCTTACCACGCTCTCCACGGGTCACCATCGGCAGCAGTAAGATTTACTGCAAAGCATCCTATTTATAAACTTAGCCTGCTTACAATGTAATAAGCACATGTCCCTGAGATCATCTGACAGATCTATATCTAAAGCATAATCCTCTGTTAACTGTAAAGCCTGTAAATCTAATGCCATGCAATACATTTTAGTGCATTCATTTTTCACAATTGGTTTATTTGTGTCTTGAAGGTGATGGTATTCTCAGGTGGAACCCTTCTGGTATTCAGTCAGTCAATCTGACAATTCAAGTGAGCGATCAAACATCCAGTTCCGTGATCACCCCTGTTCTGCAGCTCTGTAACTGTATGAATGGAGGAAGCTGCCAGTACAACAGTGTGGTGGAGAACCATCTGCAGGGAAAGTTTCAGGTAAACATGCAGAGAAACTTTAGATTTAAATTGGTTGTGGTGATACCACCGGTTGGCAAAATACAGTAAAACTATAAAAATGCAGTAATATTGTAATTTAAAATATGTTTTTCTATTTGAATATATTTTAAAATGTAATTTATTAATGTGACGTCAAAGCTTCACAAAGTCTTCAGTGGCACGTGATCCTTCAGAAATCGTTCTAATATACTGATTTGCTGCTCAAGAAACATTTCTTATTATCACCAATGCTGAAAACACATGTGCTGCTTAATATTTATATACATCAGGAATTCTTGATGAATAGAAGTGTTAAAAAAGAGCAGGATTTATTTGAAATAGAAATCTTTTTTTAACATTATAAATGTGAAATGTCTCATTTATTTATGTGATTTAATGCATACTTGCGGAATAAATGTATTAATTACCTTTTTTTTTATGACACAAACTGTAGTGTATATATCATGTAAAAATCAAAAACTGATTAGTTAATTAGTAAAGTGCAAAATATTTAACAAAAAAACAATGTTTTTTAATGCATTTTAATTTAATAATTTAAAATAATTAGCTACAGCTTTATTTAGAAATCAGTTTTATATTTCTAATATAAAATTTGATTTATAATCAGTGTTCATTTGTGTACAGTGGTGTTGTATGTAATGCTTCCTGAACATAGACGAACATGTTTTTCTGTGGGTCTACATCTAGGTTGTGGAATGTCTTTGTCCACTGGGTTTCAGTGGCAAGTACTGTGATAACAGAGCAGATGTTTGTAAAGGAAAACCCTGTTTTCCCGGTGTGGAATGCATAAGACAGAAAGAAAGAGACCCCTTCACATGTGGACCGTGCCCTCCTCCGACTGTAAACCAGGGCAAACAAGGATACAAATGCTTTGAAAATGGTCAGTAGTTATTTAAAAGGCACACTTATTTTGCTATTTTTCATTGCAACAGCTTCAAATTCAGATTTTAGAGCCATAATAATCATAAACAAAAGTTTGACTAACCCTGTCCCACAGATTTCTGTCTCCCTCCGTTCCCCTTCCCCTGTCATGAGATGGCAGACTGCAGCAGCACTGGCTACAATTACACATGTAAATGTAAGCGTGGCTACAGTGGCGATGGAAAAGAGTGCGAAGGTATGCAACAAGAATGCACATGCTAGTAGTCACTGAGACACACTTGCAGTCACGCATGCTTTATTTCACCCACAGATATTGATGAGTGTCTGGACCCCTCAGCCTGTCCGAATGCCAAGTTTGAATGTGTGAACGTGCCAGGATCAGTGCGCTGCTCATGCCGTTATCAGAAGACCAGAGATACTGACGACTGTGGTAAGTGATTTTACTTTCACAACTGATCAACATGACTTCAGCTTTACATTTACTGTACACAGGTAACTGATTGAAGAAACAAAGATTTTGAATCTTTCATTTGGTTAAACCAATTACTTCATAACACGATTGACTGTTTTATTTATTTTTTGTTTTATTTTTTTATTTTTTTTAGGTGAATCTGCTAATCCCACAGGTGAGACTGTGTTTATTTATTTGCTTTGAATGATATAGGTTTCATTAGGGCGTGATTTGTAAGAACAAACAAACAAACAAAAAGAAAAAAGAAAGAAAGAAAAGGGGGAGGGGATATTTGAATGTCATCATTGAATTTTTAATTCAGAAATTTAGACAGTGTAATATATATATACAGTGTAATTCATATAAAATGAATAGTAAAAATATGTAAAATAATTGTTTAAATTGAATCAACAAAATTTTATTTGACCCTTAACTTGTTTATTATAAATGTATTTATATAATTTAAAGGACTCATGAACTGTTAAGATAAGCTGTCAAACATTTTGAACACATTTCAGCCATCTCTCCTGACAAATTATCGTACTGACAAATTATGAGTTATTTTCATTCCATCTTAGTCCAGGATAAGTTGTAATGTTGTGCACATTTTACTAGGCTGCTTACGACTCTGAAAACAAACTCTGTAAAACAAGATCAGTGTCAGTGACAGTGCATTGCTCTGACTATAGATAATCTTGACCAGGGGCGGCATTTCCTTATGGCAGAACCCATACCCCAGCCCAGTCTGGTGTGCCGTGGAAAATTATCCAAACTTCATATCTCTATTATATTCCGTTATTATTATTTTAAATCAGAGGGTTTTACAAATATTTAACCCATGATAAGCATTAAAAAGTGCTTGTCAGTAAAACTTCGTAACGCCATTGTATCCTCAAACTGTCAGTGAAACCTCGTAACTTCACCCCGCCTCCATTCAGTTTTTGACCACGTCTCTGTTAATAAAACCTTGCAGATGGATCCGCACGCTTCCTGTGTTCCCTCCGTAACATTAGTAATATGATTTAATTGTTCATCAGTTTTGACCAATAGGTGGCACTGTTACCAAATTGATGAGGCATGGTCAGTGTGAAGTGACAATGGCATACATAAAGTTTGGTGTCAACATGTCAAAGCTTTGCAGAGATAAGCCTCAGATGCAGTAGGGATCATGCCATCAAATTTGTTGATGTGGTAAATGAAAACCGTTTCATCTATCAACTTGAATTCTGAAGATGTTCTGAGCCAAATTTGGTGAAAATTGGACCAATAGTCTAGGAGGAGTACGAAAAAATAGGTCAAAATGGCAGACAGGAATTTCGGCCAATTATGACAAAATTGGTATCAATATTCCCGGCATGATCCAAGGAATCTATCAAGACAAGTCTCATGACAATAGACAAAACTATTCAAAAGTTATTAGTGTTTTTTTTTTATTTCATTATAAGTTTTGACCACAAGGTAGCGGTTAAGTACCTTAAGGGCATGGTGCTGATAACACATTCCAAGTTTCAGAACGATACCCCAATGCATTCTTAAAATATAGTATTTTTTTGTCATAATTCAAAATGTCCGACATGTAAAAAGACAAGTCTTGTGATTTTTGGCCAAACCTTTCTGAAGTTATAAGCAAAAATAGTAATTTTTCATTTTTGCACTGTGCAGGTATCCTCAGATAATGGTTATCATAACACACACACCAAGTTTGGTCTGAATATGCTAAAGCATTATGGAGATATTGCCTCACATCCACTTTGGTGAGCCCTTCGACAAATTCGTTCACATGTTATTCGCAAACCGTTTGACTGATCAACTTGATTTCAATGGTTTTTTTTGACAAAATCAGACAAATGGTCTAGAAGGAGTTTGAAAAAATTGTTTTTTTTTGAAAAATTCAAAATGGTGGAAAAAAATTAACGATGGAAAATTACATTATAGGGTGCATTCGTCTTGAGCCAAGGAATCAGAGGAAACAAGATTTTTGTTTCTAGCACTTTACAGTTCAAAAGTTATTAGCACAAACATGAGTGCAAATTTGGACAAGTGGTAGAGCTAGAGGGTTTGAGTTAGAGACTCCAAATGTGGTGTAATTCATGTTCAGACTGTCCTTTATCTCTGTACCAAGTTTCACAACTTTTGCCATATGGTTCTATGGGCTGCCATAGACATTGAAGAAGAAGAAGAAGAAGAAGAAGAACACTACCAGATAAAGGGGCCAAGCACCCAGGGTGAAAAAAAATGAACGACCTGAAGTGGGGATATCAAAAGCAGGGAAAACTTCCCCCATATCCTCACCATGCAAATTGCACCCTGGATTTCATATTTTAGGAGAAACCAACAAAAATTATTATTTTTTTCTTCAGGATGGAATGTTTTTAACGTGTCCATGGGCTGGGGAAAGCAGACGTCAGCACCAGGACTGAGTAAGGTCAGGGCATGTATCTGAGATGTGAAAATGTGCATGTCATGGCATGTCATTAACACTACAGCTCACATTAATTTCTGCATTCTCTATAGCTGCAGAAGATCCTGTCAATGGGTTTCCAGAACAAGTTCTACAACGCCACTGATACAGCTCCTGATTCAGCATCAGCAGGCGGGCAGAATGAGTACAGGATCAATGTGTCCAGTGACACACCGCACTGGTATGTCATGGACTACCTGACCCGAGTCAGTCAGTACTATGGCATCCGTTCAGCCTCTGTGGACGGTAAGAAAATGTACTATAATATTTTATTTTCGCTTATTACATGACTCTTTTGATAGGTCTTCAACCCTGGGGATCCTGGTGACCCACTGTCCTGCAAAGTTTATTTCCAACCTGCTTCAGCACACCTGGCCTGTGACTTTTCAAGTGATCTGGAAGACCTTGATTAGCTGATTCAGGTGTGTTTGATTAGGGTTGGAGCTGAACTCTGCAGGACAGTGGGTCCCCAGGAGCAGGGTTGAAGACCTATGATATTGCCAATTATTTAGTCTATTTTTGCTCTGCCAATGAAAACTATTCGAATCAAAACCAAATGCTGCATATGATAGTAGAGCAACTGATAGTAGTTTTGTTTCTCAATGAATCAGTATTGTTTAATGATTTAATGACTCTCTCATAAAATATCACCTGTTTTGTCCCTGAATGAATCTGTTATTTTTTATTCATTTTTTAAAAATAGTATTTTATTATTATTAGTAGTAGTAGTAGTATTAGTATTAGTATTAGTATTATTATTATTAGTAGTAGTATTAGTATTATTATTAATAAATATGTCCAGTGAATGGGTGATACATTCATAAAGACTGTTCTTGAATGAATCAGTGTTTTTGAATGAATCACTTAGTGAATGATTCAATGATTCTCTCAGGAAGAAAATCACTTATTTTGTACCCGAATAAAACAGTGTTTTTGAATGAGTCATTGAATGAATGATTCAATAACTTATTCATATAGAAAATCACTTATTTTGTTCCTGAATTAATCAGTGTTTTTGAATGAATCCTTCAGTGAATGATTCACTGACCCACTTAGCCAAGACAGTCCCTTGGTTTGTTCTTGAATGAAACCGTAGCTGTGTCTCATTTAGAAGGCTGCGTCCTCCGGAGGTCGCATTCGAAGGCTGCATACGTCATCGAGACTGTCTCATTTCAGAAAAGCAAGTAGGACACTCCGAATGCGACCTTCGAATGCGACCTTCTTTCACAGGATTTCGGAGGGTGCATGAGGTGTATCCTTCGCTGCTACAGATAACCCACAATTCTTTGCGTCGCCGTGAACAACCGTTGTTAATTTGAAAAAGCCCGGCGCCGGCAGATGTAACGTACACACAAGTGCAGATGTGGTGTTTACAACGTACCTTAATTCGCCTCGGTAAAAACGGATAAACTTTGTTTTTAATATCCTCCTCCTTTTTTTCTCTAATAGATGCCTGCTGTACGTAGGCTGCAGCTCCTCAAACATTGAACAAAATATAACAAGTAAAAGCATTTTTTTTTTCAAATTACTTTCCAAATTTAGAAATAAATTTCCTTCATTTAAGTAGTGTGAGAGCGCAACGATGCTCTAAATGTGTTGGCATAGCAACGCGATACTTCCGGTTTCCTTTTCCGCCCGTCCTACGAAGGCCGTCTCGTTTAATTCGAGGTTGAGGACACTTCGTATATGTATCCTACAGAGGATGCGACCTCCAGAGGATTCGACCTCCGGAGGGTGCAGCCTTCTAAATGAGACACAGCTAGTGTTTTTGAACAAATCCTTGAGTGATTAAGTCAATGACTCACTAATAAAGACAGTCACTTGGCGCCACCTACTGGTGTAAAAATGTAACCTGCCGTAAGACTCAATGAAAAATCCCCACCACTAACACACACACTGACAGTCTGTCTGGAACACAGACAACAAACGGTATAAACAGTGAAAGCATCAGTGCTGTTGTACTGAATATCAGCTCTCTTGAAGCACTATTCAACCAATTATATTTGGGGACTGCAATTAACTGTTACATATAAGACATTAACCTCTAATTCCTGTTTATGAATTCTTAAGTTCTACTCCTTGTCTTTAGAATTTGTATTCCTTGTTTTCTTTAGACCTTGACGAGTGTAAGACAAATGAGGCTCCGTGTTCAAAAACAGCCCTGTGTGTCAACACCTACGGGGGCTACAGGTGTGTGTGCAATGGCACTGATCTAAAGGAAGAATCACAGTCATGCATATTAGGTAAGAGCATCCCCAAAAAACAGTGTTCATGCTCAGAGTCTGGTCATTACATTTTTCATAAAAATTAGTTTTTTCTCCTCCACCTCAGACTGGAACAGCGTTAACCGCACAGACGTGTCGGGTGCTCAGACTACGGAGGATAAGAAGTCACTAATTTTGGGGCTGGTCCTGGGAATTGGTATTCCCCTCCTGTTACTGCTGTTGCTGGCGGCCCTCGCCTGCTTCTGCTGCTGCTCACGCAAGAAAACAATCTCTGGAGAGTGAGTGTCCTGATCACACATACAATGACATTTACAGTATCTGGATGGTTGCATGCTTGATCTTAACTCTCACTCTTTCTCTCTCCATCAAGTATTCCTCATCTGCTGCCCGAGTACATTCAGGAGCAGTTCAACCCTCCGTTCAACTTTGACGACCCCTCTCTGCACTACATCACCCACGTCAGCCCGCGTATCCTTGACAACCTCACACCTCAACAGAAGCGCCGGTATCGATAACACAGGCCCTGTACGGTTCATGCAGCATCGGTGCAGATGTACATTGTGTTTAAAATTGATCTAAATATTATATTATTTATATTAAACAGAGACTGCTGACTTTTAGTCATGTGTGAAAGTGAAAGAACACTAAACACATGCAAAAGAATCATGGAGCGATCTGTGAGCAACAAGCTCTGCTGAATTATTGCCTGCAGTTAATTGAAGATACTAACCCTTGTGAAGAACATAATGTACATATGCAGTGTTCTCAACAAATTTCAACAAAATTATCAGTTGACACGCATTAGTTGCACTTCTCTAGCACTGACTTTAAAAAACAAAGCTACCGTTTAAAGATGTTAATGCAAGAGGAGAAACATCTGAACACCAGTTGCAGGTATTGCTGGAAATATGGTTAAATTTAAGGAAAATTAGGCACGTTTTAGTACCTCTCAAAATTTTATAAGGTCTGGGTGCATTATAGTAATAAAAATAGTGGTAAAATGTGCTTAAATATTATGAAATAATGTCAAATACCACAGCAATGGTCCTATAATGCATTTTCCCCCTTAGTTTGGTGGTGAAATATGCATTCTTCAAGGAATTTCAAATAATGGTCAATAAGATCTTACACAAAAATATTGAGCAACTGAATATATGTACATTATGCTGTCTATAAGCAAATATATATGGCACCATCAAACCCACTCAAACACTTTGTCTTAAAATACTTAATAATGGTTATGATATTTTTATGCCCACTAGTACGTTTTCCTCAAATAAAAATTTATTGTTCTTTTTTCAAAACTGAATGTGTGAGGAAACATGATTTTTACAGCATGCAGTGGGTTCTAAAATAAAAATAACTTCTGGATACTACTAGAGAGTTCTTTTTTCAAAACTGAATGTGTGAGGAAACATGATTTTTACAGCATGCAGTGGGTTCTAAAAGTATGAGACCACTAGTGAATGTACTTCTATTTTTCATACTTTTCTAATATAAATAATATTATTCGTTTTTATTACACATTTTATTACTAGCATAACAATTTGGGTCAAATGTATTTTTCGTAAATGTCTTAAATTAATACTTCCATTCTGCTATATCAGGGTTTCCACAAAAATATTAAGCAGCACAACTGTTTTCAACACTGATAATAATAAGAAATGTTTCCTGAGCAAATCAGCATATTAGAATGATTTTGAAGGAGCATGTGACACTGAAGACTAGAATAGTAATGCTGAAAATTTAGCTTTGGAATAAATTGCATGTTATATGCATGCATGGCTGCTGGTTTTATGTACAGAATTACTGTTTAAATATTAGTGTTGTGGAAGTGTACTATGCACTTTTCACCACTGGGAGGCAGCAGCATCTTTCTGTAATGTGGAAAGCAGACAGTCAATCACAAGAGGCACCAGGCAGACACCTGCACTTCTCTCTATGCAGTGTGTGTGTGTGTGTGTGTGTGTGTGTGTGTGTGTGTGTGTGTGTGTGTGTGTGTGTGTGTGTGTGTGGTTGGGTGG